AATTGAAAACGGTTGTCGTCATCATTAGGTTTATTATATATTACTACCGAGTACATTACGTTCGGCAATAACCAGTGAGATAGCAGACCTTGTTGAGCTTAAGACCATTTCGGATTTGTCAGCCTTCCTCGGCATCTGGATTTGATCAGCAATAAAATGAACAAATGAACCGGTTTACAACAATAAGAATCCTTAAGCAATACAGAAGTAGCAACCGTTCCTATACGGGCAGAATACACAAGTAGTGCAAAACCCGATTTCAACCTAGGGTTAACCGCAGCCGTTTTCCGGAAGGAAGGAAATTGGTAGCCATACATTAAACTGACTACTACTTGACGTTGCTATGAACCTTAAAGTTCATGCGGATTTCTAAAAATGAAAGTTGTTGGAAAATATGGTTTAGACAGGCGTCGCCACCGGTTTGAATCTGATCATGGCTTTCTAGACAGAGTATTGTTCTTGTAAATAGATCCTTCATACTGCCATGAAAATATGCACCATCCTATGATTGCCATTACTTGCCTTGATGACCATTACGGCATCATAAGCTTGACTGTTTGGCTAAGAAGCACAGCCTGACAACAACAGCCCTACTCTTCATTAAAAATCAAGTAATTACTTTTAGATGCTTCTGTCCAAACTACCGGAAACGTAAAGCAAATGCCGGATCTACTGGTCTAAGGGCGGTCAACAATGAGAGGATGAGAGAAAAGTACAGTGAGTGACGCTTTGTTAACTGTTTTTCAAGGACTTCTATTTTTTATGCAGGTGTAATAAAAAAACAGAGAATCACGAGGAGACATGAGTCAAGATAAAAGATCAACGTCAAGCAAACCATTAACATCCCACATTCGATAACGAGTATTGTCCGAAGATCGATTTCATCATCCATGGTGGCAGTCACGAGAAACTGACAAGTGTCAAATGCATGCGCACAATGGATTCACTGTCACTCAACGGACCATCAGCAACGCATTAAAAATTGTGCATCACAAACTTTTTTACAAAACATTCAAAAATGCATGTTAAAAATCTTTCAAATTACAAACACCTTAAATCTGCGACAACCGACCGTACACGCAAATTTTCGCGATAGGATGTCATAAACATGCAACAATAGTCTCTTCTTATTTGATGACCTAATAGTGGAATTGTACTATATTCTGATCAAAACATCGCGAAATATGTCATTTAGAAAGCGTAAAAAATTACAAATAAGATGTAGCTCATTTTCAACAATACGATTATAGAATTAGTTCATAATTCCCACAACGATGCAAGTTCTGCAATGACAAAGTTTATGGTTCTGAATCTTTATAGTTCAAGAAATCCTGAATAACTAAAGTGCATAATGCTTCTAAGCTTACGATTAAAACGCCCAAGACTTCAGTTCTTTTATTGTCATATTATCTATTATATTTTGCAGAACAACTCCTGTTTCCCAATAGCGACATTTTTTGCTGAAACGAATGAACTTTCCTTGCAGCATGACTTAGCATTTATTTCCTAACAAACATGCTTGTATACAGAAAGAACTGATGCGAATTCCGTTCAATTTGGAACTTGTAAATGCCTTGGGTTCAACGATAAGAATTGAATTCAACTAAAGAAAACGTTTATAAATGTATATTACGCGACATTCTAATCTACGCATTCGAGCACGTTTTCAATAAAAATTATTGGAAATAAATAACAGTAACGTTAAAACAGAAATGTTCCGTTCATGTGAAATATCGGTTGAACTTGAGAAGACCCACTCGTTTGATTGCGTATTAAATAAATTCTGTTTATTTGTTAATCGTCTGACAGTCGTTCAACAATTCGGTAACGTTTGTTTTATTTGCAACCTTTTTCGTGGAACAGCGTTTGCCAGCAGTGCATTGCACAAACATGTTTGTATTTTTTTCAGAATATTAATGATGTTCGATACAAAGAGACTACTACATTCACGAATAACGTTTCTCTACCGTATTTCCCTAGTATAACTGATGTCCATAAAGGAAAGCGTCAAAGTTGTTTTAGATGAACTAGTGCAGTACGAACTTTTGAACCGTGCTTTACATCATTCTTCTTTTCTGAAAATCGTTTCCTGCATCCCGTTGCCCCTCTTCTGCACTCACCAACACACGTGATATCTCGTTTCAAATTTCAAGGATGCTGCATACAGATCAAGTTATCCGGTTTTCTAAGAATGTTTGTGTGTAATGTCGCTATCTCGGAAGTGCAAGGGCACCATCGAATGTTCCGAAATTGTTGGAAATAATTATCACGCCTAAATGTCACTCAATCCATGGAGTTCCAGGGAAACGCCAATCAAGCTGCATCAAAAATGCGCTGAATCAAGCAGCAATTAGCCAGCACCAAATGGGAGCACAATGGAAGGCGGCATCCAGTGATATTACTTTGATGGATGCCTATATATGCCGCTGCTGACATACGTGGAGAAACACATCCATCTATGTGTCTTATGCTATATGTGGCGAACAACAAACTACTAAGAAGCCCGAACGATACGTGGCGGAAGCAGGGTCTCGACATGGAAAATGAAGCGGCCTATCCACAACGCCCCGGAGTTCGGTGGTGAGGAACCATTCAAAGATTTGGCACTGAAGTTCGACGAGGTTGCAACGATCAATATCTCAGACGACCAGGATAAGCTACCATGACAATCAGTGCCCTTCACTGGGAGAATGATGGTTCTTAGATGTTCGATGCAGTTAGCGTAGGAAATACCGTTCGGTCCCGCATCAAAGAGCTGCCAGCTGGAATCGACCCCCCGGGCAAGATTCCCGCATACAAATCTAGAGTATCAAATGTTCAGAACTAGCATAAACGTTTGAAGCATCACGAACCGTATTGCAAAAAAATTTTGATGCCCTTCCACGAATTTTTCGGCTTTTTATCACATGTTAAGGTCTGTTTAGCGGAGGTAAAATTTTTACAAATGGTGTACATTTCCTGGCCATAAGGCTGAAGCATTCTAGTAAGAGAGAAACAAATTTTAGATGAAAAAATGTTTGCTACAAACTTAGTTTAAGTTCTGCACGCTAACTGTATAAGATACAGCTAATCAGAGAGCAATGAGATTGACATGAGCGATGCTTACAAAAATACGTATACTTCAGTACAAGGCAAAACACCTATGAAAAAAGCGGTCATCCAAAATGACATCAGCGAATCTTTTGTTTCCCGCACGCTATGTTTTCAGTTCTTTCGCTGAGGATGTAGACGGAGATTCCAAAGCGATGCCTGAGTTGAAGATTCTCGACAAGTCTTCCCCTTGAATACAAATGTTGTACTTCTCACGGAAACCAGTAATTTCCTTTCCTTTAGTGACTAGCAGTTCTCGCGAAGTTTCGATTGACTTCGTTAGCTGAAAAAATACAAATGCCAGTAAATGTGAACAAAATAAGCCGAACACCAATTTACATTTTCAAGATTCTTTTGCAATGCCGGTAACACGTTCTTAACCTTCCGTTCTACGAGTATCTCCCCGATCAGTCGGAAACACTTCCGTTCTGGTTCTAATTTCGACAAAGTTTCAATGACAAGTCTAAAGAAGTAAATATAAACAACAAAAATCAGTAATAAACAATTAAAACTGTTAAAAGGTTTATTATTGTGGCTGACTGAAGTCCTGCGGATTTTTTTTACTCTGTACTGTCTATCTGTCAGATCTAATCCTTTCCTTTTTTGGACAAATGGTGAGCTAGCAAAAGATAAAAATGCACATGTCAAACATGGTTGCAAATTTCATGAGAGTTAGCATATCCGTACAGATCGCCCCAGTCATCAAGTTACTACCTATTTCCTGGCAGATAGGGATTACAACTAAGCAGAACCCTAATGAACTCCTTCAGATTAAGTTCCAGTAAAACGTCATAAACAGTATTAGATAAAAAGCATAAAATAATACTGTAGCATATCTAAGAAAAATTGTCTGCTACGCAACCCCTAACTATAAACTGGGACTGGGTCCTATAAAAGTTGCGTCGTCAGTATTGCAACACGGCACACTGTTTCTGAATGTCTCCAAAGGCATCATTTAACCAGGCCATGGCGACAACGTGTTTCCTCATGTTATGCGACATATAAGTCTTATCCTATGCAAATAAGACTTACAAGGTCACAGCAACATTGAAGAAACGAAGGGAAACCAAAGGCTATTCTTCGCTACCTCTTAAAAAATGAGAAGACGAGGGACGAGATAGTCATGACCAAGCAGATGCCAAAAAGTATGACTGGTGAAACATCAAATTGTCGGCCTTCATGTTTAAACATTTAGAGACCATTTGGTTGAAAATGGGTGAAATCTCCAACGATACCTGATGTAAACGTAGCAACATATGGGACTGCAAGTGCAAATAAATCAAGTGCATTTTCATTCTTAGCTCTATCTGGAAAGAGAAGGTCGAGAATAATGTTGAAAAGCAACAACGAAAGTATATCCTTTGGTGAATTCCGCAGAAAACAGGCAACGACTCCGCCCCCTTTTAATCTTAAGAGCAGATCAGGCTCCTGTATAGGCCGCTTCCAAAAACAAAACCGATGCATTGAGACAAAATACCCCATACTCTACAAAGATTTGCCAACCGTTCTACCATCTGATGAATCGAATGCAACGAATGTGACTATCAAGTTTTGAAATTCTAAGAGGATATGACAAGATGAAAAATTGTACGTACGATTCATTGGAAGAAGAACAGCTTGAAAGAAGCAACTGTTCGTTCATTATAAAACTGTCTGAGTATTTTCAGTCAAACAGATATAAACAAATCATAAACAATATTAAACAACAAAAAAGAAACATGATCCAACAGAAAGACGAAACATAGTGAACATTTCCGTCATTGTCACATGCACCTTCTCTCCATTACACCTTCTTCCGGTTGCGGGCGCCTTGTGAATATTTCGCTTCACCGTGTACCATTCAGTGACTTCACGGCATGCATTATCCATTCAGTCGAAGCTCTCAAACAGTGCCTATTCCCCCTCTCTGAAAAAAATACCTCCATAAATTTTTACTTTATCTCAGCTGTCTTACCACAGTTTTTCTCATTTACTGCTGAAACTTTTACAGCAGCAAGGATTGCACTTCCTGTTGATTATCACATTGAACTGTCAGCAATCAGACGAGCCAAGATAATCTGCCGCCCTCAGATATGCCCGCATTAGAGCATATGACCGCACCAATCGTCCATTCTGGTAAGAACACACACAACACCACGATAACATCGTTTTTGCAAATTAACGACTTGCAACCCGTTTCTCGGCTGGCTGTACATAAGCAATGGGCAAATTTATTGCTCAAAGGAATTAGCAGTAGAGAAAATTTACCCTCTTCAGGATTCGAACCCGGAAAGTGCAAAGTAAAGAGCTGACCATTTTGCCCCTTCGCCAATTTTCCCGACCTTGTTATGTTGATTCTTATGATTATAAGCTTAACTCTCGTTTCTTACCCTAACGATGGCCTTTGACTCTGAAAAATTACGTGCATTTCCCGAAAAAAACTTCCTTTCTGTTAAGGAGGTTGGAAAACGTAAGACTAATCTGACCAAAGACTAAACAGACTTCAAAATTTTGCCCAATAAAACGAACAAACGAGGAGATAAATCGAAAACAAATTTACTTATGTTCCGCTTTGTCCATCTCCAACGTAGTGAGTTTTGTGGCAATTTTGCGTTGCTCTTCCCTCATCTGCTTGAATCGTTCAAGGATTTCACTCGGCGAAAGCTTTTTGTCCTTTTCCTTGTTCTCTTTCTTAAAAGCATTTTTTGATTTCGCTGCATCATCCCCTGCAGAGGCCATAGATTATATAACGTTTGCCGATTTGCTTTCGTTTAGGTCCCAAGGCTGTTCCACTTCGTAATTAACCTAAAAATGAAGTGAATCGTGATTCACTGTTTCTGATTCATCGCCATCAGCAGACAATGAGAAACAGGAAAACATTTTCAATTCAAAAAATTGTTTCATCTTTAGCGCAGCATAATAAAACCATATGCAAATTAATATTAATAATATTACAATAAGGTAACTCGTCAACAATATGTCAAAATAAGTCACTAATTAAGGAAATAGCAGTAAAATGATGTACCATACATGCTGCTCCACAAGCTCACCATAATGTACTAAATAAGGCAATAATTAAGAGTAACATCAAAACAAAAGTCGGTTTGAATCGAAATATGAAGTTTTCAGAACCTATTACCAATTACCACTGATCGATTGATAATTTCACAACTAAGATTATAAAGTAGGGTAGAGTAATACACATCAAACCATTGCATACGGATCGTTTCAGTACCAGGCATTACTTCTTTTGGATGTTTGATGATCAACTTATGCAAATTACGCTGCACGACCTTCACCATGCAGCAAGGTGTGAATGGAATTCAGAACTCTGATTCTGCGTTTTGAACATCTAATTCTATGATCTGAACACGGCTGCCAAGATTCTAAGAACAATATTCGGAATGAGAGGAACGATCTGATGTCAAGTGCTGTTGTGAGAAAGAGGTTAAACTAAAGTGACCAACCGGATGTAAACAAGACGTGGAAGATTTGGACCGAAGCGAACGAACAGACAATAGCAACCTTGCGAAATGAATATTCAGTACAAAAGCCTGATGGCAGGCAGCCGACAGAAACATGCTGAACAAAATGGAATGACCTCGCTAGAACAGACTAGGATCATAACGACTGAAAGGTAAGCAGACATTAATTAGATCCGACTGGAATACTTCTATAGTCAAATAGCAAATGCTGTCCAAGTGACAGTGGTCTGCTCTTCTTGTCCCATTCCGCATATTGTGCGTATATATGTATTACGGCGATTATATACATATATGCGCCGTCACCTCAATGTCTCCATTCTTGAAGGGCTGTAGTGCATTATCCAAAACACCAAATTTCAGTCATTTTCAATGACTGCTCATTCTTTCGGATCGCGGAGGGAGACGCGTTAGATACTACCTTCAACATTCACGATCCTGTGCCAGCGTTTCCATTTCGGCATAAGATAACCGAAGTCTAAATCAGTGTCGATACACTACAATCAGGCAATTCCTCTTCGCTTGCGGGGTCTTCGGCTGGTCGGTTGGGAAAGTGGTGGCTTGTTCACACTACTTTTTGGAAGCATTCGCAACAGATGGCCATCGCAGCTGTTACTCCTTTCAATCTACAGAAGCATCGGCTGTACATTAGCTATGCTCCGGACCAAACAGAGAAGCGCAAGCCTGGAGACTCGTATCCAAAAGCTCATTTCAGCCATTTCTACTCGAGATCGAAGATTTTTAGTCATGGTCCACGACTCATGACCATAGGTAAGCATGGGGATAAGGATCGACTTGAACACCGAGAACTTCAGACTGAGTTTTCAGAATGAGCTCTGCTTTACACACAATGAGTCGGGCTAGTTCAAGAAGAACGGCAGGAGAATGAGAAAGAACTAGGCTTTTCGTTTTAGATGCGTTCACACGCATGCCGGTCACGTCGCACTCGGCTGCGAA